TCTTTACCCCATTGGTAGTCACTAGGTAGGTGGTATCGGCCCGTTTCGAGGAAGTTGAAGACGATGTAGATGATGTGCCGGCGGTAGAAGAAAGCCTGGACTTGTTCAGCTAAGAAAACAAGTAAGAATTAGAAGAAATGATTTACCTAATTATGAAACGATAAATATTAATATATTAGGTATGTAAAGAAAACTGGGTTTCGTAAAATCTCCCAATAGATTGATGTTGGAATACCTCGCAGGACAGCATGTTTAACAAGAATTCAATGAAATACGAAGAGAATAAAGCTATCTTGTCTTCGTGCTTTGGTGAATTATCGTTAAGCATGGTGCCCTGCTCTGACGATGTCCGCCACTACGGAGGAAAGCTTAGCAAGGATTAGTCAGGGTCGCAGGGAGGTGCGTCAAGAACCTGTTCGCATAATTCTATATTCACGACTGTTAGGCAATCCCCATACAGCCTTCGATGAGGCAACCCACCTATTCAAACGAAATTTAAATTATTTTATCATTAATATGTTGTTAGTTACCCTAGAGCAAGTAATAATAAAATTATGATATAATTAATAGTAACGTAAAAAACCCTAAATTCTAATTACATGTCAGTATAATCTTAATTATGCTGCTAAATGCATTACGAATGAAAAGTTTTGATAAAAAAACAGTAAATATAGTGGTAAAGGTATGCAAATAAAGGTCAGGATCAAAGGAATAAACCAGATCTACGAGTTTTTAAAAGCAACATAGAATAAGCTGAGGCGAGTAAATGGAAAGTAATATAAACAAATGAATAAAAAATTGACATGTCTGTGCATAAAATTTGCCTTCATGGAGTGTCACTGTCAGTAACTCGCTTAAATCAACATTTATTAAAATCGACGCGTTACCTTTATTTGTAAAAAGTCTTATAGTTACAATTATTGTAAGCCCATGATTTTTCTTTGATAGCTAAATAGAAATAGAAATAAATTTTAAAATATTAATCCAGTAAACTATAACAAAGAAATGCTGAAAAGTTTCTATAAGATACTGGCGCATGCAAATGTCAGTTTTGATAATTTTAGCCCGTGTTTGCTTCGCGAATGACTGAGACGATAGAAGTTGCGAAAAATTTAAGAGGAGCAGACCAACGAAAATCTAATATCATATTTTTATATAATTATCCTGGATGTGGTCATTTCCTACTCTTAGATGAAATGAAAGCCAGCGAAACAAGAATACAAAGTAATAAAATGCTAATAACAGATTCCAATGGTGCCGCATATTTAGCTTTAATAATAGAAGATATAACTACGCTGATAGCTCAGTATAATTCAGTTAGGAATTCAGAATCGGTTGTGAATCTCGTCTATGAAACTTTTTGTTAGGAATGACTTTAAAAAATGGAGAAACAGTTCTAGCTAAAGAATGATAAATAAATTTATCTCACCCTCTCAAATCTCTCAATCTAATTTTAAAAGCGAATGAATGCCATTAGACGTTTATTATTATTATACAGTTATAGTAAGGCCTATCTTC